TTTTAACCTTTTCCTTTAAATTCAAGTATTAAAATATCAACGAAAAATTTGTTGACCCATTTATATAACGATTTTTTTTAAATAACCATATATAAATTGAACATACCAGAGTTTTAATATATCTTTCACTTATGCAAATATAACTTACCATCATTTTCCAAGCACGGCTGCCCTGCACCGGAACACACAGCGAATGTATAACTCTTATCCTGCAACTGTAAGGTGAACGGTTTATCCTTTAAACTGCTCATATCAAGACTGTTCATTACAATCCGAAAAACCAAGAATAAAAAGTAGAAAATGTTTAAAATATTTTTATTTAAAATTTTTATTTGGATATACTTACATTTCATTACCGTGCGTTATGGTCGTACAAGGCGCCAAATTATTACAGGCCAATGGCGTGACAAACGAAAATTCATTTACGCAACCATGCAGACCAATAAATTCCGGATGAGCATTCTGTGCAACAAAATGTAAGATAAAAAATTGTAGAATTTATGCTGGAGGCAGAAATTTTCACTGAAATACCTTAACATTTGGATCGCAATAAAAATATATAACCGAAGAATAAGTTTCATTACCATTGCAAATGGTATCTGACTTAAGACGCATGACTAATTTGCCATTCTCGAAGGTAGGATTTGGTTGGACAGTACCGTAATTAAAGTACCTGGAATATACAAAAAATGTTAATTAATAATATTATGCAATTATAGATAAAATTACTTTTTCTTATAATCAGTGGCTTTTAAGGAAACAAAGCACACACTGCTACCAGCCGGACACATATTGTTTCTGCCATAGAGCACTGGTTTACAGACATTTATCACAAACGCAGATCCAGCTCGATCGGTAGTACTGAAAATTAGAAGATATTATATCAGGAAATAATTTTAATTTACTGGTTTTCTTACATATAATTCATATCACTGAGTGGCATCAAGTTATATACATGACCAGTTGAAGTATCGGTATAGGTACACGTGTTAGCTTTAACGTCATCTGGTTCTGGTAAGCAAGCTTCAGGCGACTCCAAGGTGATGTAGAAGGAACAGGAATTATTAGCCTGTAAAATTAATAATTTAAAAACAATATAATTTAAATACAAAAACAAATATCTATTTGCGTTGTAAGTTCATGAAAATTCATTAACTTTTAAATACAATGGTAGAGGATGCATGAATGACGTTTTATATTTACTGCATTTAGTTTAAATGCATTCCGGGAAAAAGCTTCTATAAAAACCAACAATTACTTACATACTGTGTCACATGTGATTGTATCTCATCTAAAGTGTAATCGCAGCCAAGGGCAACATACAACTGAAAATCAGCTACACCAGTGGGACATTTGGCGCCATTTAGAAAGCTGAAAAACATTTTGCCATTGCTATAGTGTAGTTGATGTTGTGTGCCTGCATTTAAATAAAACAGAAAATATTTTAAAATTAATACTAAAATAAAGTAAATAAAATAGCATAAAGGAAATATATTCACTCAAAGGCACATACCGAGCACAAACTCCTTGTCGCCTCTTTTTAAACACGCTGCAATATTTTTCTGTCCATCGCAAGTACGCGTCATATTACCACAGAGATTATACTCGAAGACATCACCATTCATGCCAGTGGCTTGGTGTGCAAAATCTGAATGTAACTTGCTAAAGTCAAATTTATGTTCATAAACTGGCTCCTTTAGAAAACATTCCGTCGTTGCAAATACCTAAAGTATGAGATAAGAAGTTTTTATAACTGTTATTTATATTTTAAATTTGAAGAGATTGGGTGTGATCAAGAGTATATAAAATAGACTTTTATTTTAAACTCCAAATTGCAACATAGTTTAGTCTTAATCTTTAATTATCTTAATTTTATAGAGGGGATTGAAACGCGACATTAGGATGCATTGTGATCCCTACTTGAAATAATTTCTATTTCTTCAGTAAATAGCAGTATTTGTACTATTCTTCCAAGTTCCAGATTCCAGTTCATCTGAATGTTGAATAATATCTTCCTAGCATGTACTTTTCGGTACCCATCTCCTCTTTGAACCTGCAAATTCCTGATTTTTTTAGGTGGTAGTTCAACCTATAATGTTCTGTTAGAATTTCTGTTATAACTCTCAAATTTATTTTTGTTAAATTTAGATGTTCCTTATATCGATTTAGGTTAAATTTCAATATATAATAAGTTCCTATGTGTCTTTATAATGCATACTGATCGGTCTATAACTGCTTTAACATAAATCCGAATAAATTAATATATATTTTTAAGAGAATACAAACAGTTTCTCTATAGTCGCAATATATATATATTTTGTTTTAGTAAATAGTAATCAAATATAATATCGATATTTGCGTTATAACATAATCATAAATATAAGACAGCGACAGATGTTATCAGGCAGCAAACTGCGAATTAAAGAAATCTTAGGTACTGAACACAACAAAAACTGTCATCACCTTCTAGTCTAAGACAGCTTTTTGAGCCATTAGACAATTCTGTATTTGGGATAGTATATTGTAGCTAAGATAACCTATTCGATAAACGAGTAACAATTCCAGCTTTAAACTGTTGAAGAAAGGTAAATTTTTTATGCAAATTGTACTATCACCAATAACACACCGTTTATAGGACAGACCTAAAGAACCACCTTAAAGGTCGAAGTTAAAACATTTAGTGCACGAACAGCCCTGCCTTGAGATGTTACGACTTTCTCCATTCAATCCATTCAAGTGAAGTGAAACCACCTTACAAGCTCTACGTCCCGGTGCTATTGAGTTTGATGACCAAGTGACGTTCGTCACTCCCAAAAAGTGACTATACAAGCAGATACCTGTAGGTTACAACAACATAAAATTAACTATATCCCTCATGTTAAAGGATGACAACCTGGAAAAGGGTTTAGAAAATTTTAAACCTCCTGTTAGCCAATGATGGATACTGACACACGAATAGACCACATTTCTTTCGTCACATGTAGGTCGACAGTCTCGACAGAAGTAGTTAGTGTACATCCAAACTTTTATTGCATACGTTTCTGATACACAGTGATTTGTCAGCACCGATACCGTAGTACAGATTTTGTTCCACTTTAGCTAAAGCAGCTAATTGGTAAAATTTTTTTCCAATTTGGACTGGGTGAGTCTTGACAAATATCTTTATATACCCAGGTTTTTTAACTCTAGGTATCTATGTATACATAATTTCAAGTTTAGCTCTTTCAAGAGATATTAATATACGAAAATTGGTTATTTATTTAAAAAGTACAATATGTCTTTAAATTCCATAAATAACAAACATAAAATGTTTAAGCTAACTATTTTAATTTATTATAATATATGAAATATGTAGTTTTGTTTTTCTTATCTTCAATATACATATATACGACTCAAAAAAAGTGTCACAATATAAATCAATCAGATCTGACATGACCAAATCTTTGGAATTATTTCATTATAGCATGTTTACACCTACACTTACTCTTAACATTTATCTCACGTATATAACCAATTTTAACTAAAAAGAGTTCAGGTGTTTTCTTTTAAAACTCAGAGAACAATGAAGGAAAACAAAAAACGAAAATCAATTTTTTTTTCTATTGCTTCATTTTTTTTTTTAAATATATTAAGTAGAATCGATTTAAAAAAGAAGTTATCAACTCATTCTCTGCTGCATTTTTGTTAACAATTTATTTTAGTTTGAAATTTGTCTTGACTCACAGCCTCATTTTATCTTTGTTTCTATAAAATTTGCAGCAATAATTGGCACGTATTTTATATTTTTCAAGGAAGCATTTAAAAAATAAGTACACGCTTATCTCAAACATATTTGCATGGATTTTGTGTGGATTTTATATGGTAAATTTAACTAAATACTACACGCTTATCAAGATAAACCCGAAAATGTGTTAAGTACGGTAGTCTAAACACACTTTTAATTAAATTCAATGTTGAATTCAAATACAACCCTACATTTTCATTTCAATAAATCTAGGCCGTGTGCGAGTATCGAGTAAATTGATAGTAAATTGAGGGAGATAGTAAATTATGTCGGTGTAGCAGCGAATGTTGATATTTACCAGAATTTCGTATAGGGTAAATTTAATAAAAATTAGGTAAATTAGATGTTACCATTGTGAAAATTTTATTATTATGTTGAAACTCTTTGAGCTAGTGCACTTGAGCACTATATAAGATGTTTATTAAATATATAAATAAAAAAACTTTTAACCAAAAATAATAAATAAGTGCATTAATAAATAAATCTTTACATAAGTCCTAGGGATTTAAAAAATCCCTAGGAAATTTCAATTTACTCCACCTCAATTTACTCCACCTTAATTTACTCGAACTCGCACACGGTCCTAATATTATAACTCAGTTGCGACTATTATTATGAGTAATGCTACACACCGCGAACATCCTACTTTATAAGGGGCAACAGGTCTGTAAACAATATAGATAAGTGTTTTGAATCAGTTCAGACGATTGAACACCCATCTCACAAAATAGACAAATACTTTCCTCCAAAATAGACTTTTATTTGAGATAGTAGATCAGCCTACAGAGCTGATTTGCTATATGTTAAAAAACCCTTTGAGGATTATGCAACATTTCACATAAAGCAGGGTTCATTATTTAACAAGCTTTAAAACATATAATTACTAAAGTGAAATGTTTCAATTGTCTCAATAACGTAGTCATATATCATATAAACCAAAGTAATGAAGCTCTAAGTACTCAGTCATGTATGCAGATTTTATATTTTCTAAATAAACAACTAAATACACAAGAATTGATTGAAACTCAAAATACAAAGAAACTACATTATTACACTTTACAGATTAAATTGTTTTAAATCTTAAAATTAAACTCAAATTTATTGATTTTAAAATCTAATTAGATTTTTACACGCACCCACACATGCAAGCTACATGAATGGAAATTTGTTGTAATTTGAAAAAAAAAAAAACATCCATACAAAAAAAGTAATATGCAAGATAATTTTGTAATTAAAGTAAATGAATGAAAAGTTTTTATAATAAAAAAAAAATTTTTTATGAATATTAAAAAATATTTATATAATAAAAAATATCTTACACACATTTTTTTTCTCTAAATTAAGTGTTTGTTCATATAAATCTCGGCAGTTATATTCTCTTTAGATATAATATTCTTTCAAACATTAAAACTACTGCGAAGACACCTGTAACTCTTCTTGAATATTTGAAAATAAAAAAGTGTTAAAAACAAGTGTTCTCTCAGCAAAATTGTACTCTTTCTCTCATACAATAACAACAAATATTGTTAAAAGTCAAAAACATATGACGAATTGAAAATAATAAACAAAAACAAAAAAAAAACTCATACACAAATTTACAACAAAGGATTTTTAAAAAATTAATTTCACAATTATTTGTGAAAGAAATATTTTAAATTTTTTTACTCACCAGAGGATTAGTTTCTTCACAATTTATTCCAATTGTTAGTATTAAACAAAAAAATTGCAGAAGAGCAATTTTCATATTGGATGCAAATGGCCACATTTTGCATGTAAACAAAACTTGAATTCTTTTTTAGTTTAAATTTACAAATACAAAATTTTAAATTTTTGTCAAGTTTACAATATTGCAAAAAATACCTTGCTTTAACAGCATACAAAGTCTAAGTTTAACAACAAAGAAACATATAATGTAATTGTTTGTTCTAACAATATTAACGCGCACCTGTACGTCTATTGTTTTCTTATCACTTTTGAACAAATTCTTTGGTTCGATTTTTCACAGATTAGTTATAATGTTATTAGCTTATCTAACGAAGAGCGTATTGCCCGATAGCACTGCACTTTAATAATTATACGACACAGTCATTAAATATAAAAAATATAATTACGTTTATTATGTGAACATTTCGAATTGAGTAATTTAGCTTCTAACCGAACATATAGAATTTCACTAGAAAACTGAAAGTGAACTTTAAAAGAATAATGTTTTGGTAACTGTTTGACATTTTACATCATTTGCCGGCTTAGAGTTACCAGCTCTAGGGTTTTTGTACTTATCGGAAATTAAGGAAAACAGTTTTCTGTATACTGTATAATTGCTTAAGCATAATTGAGGAAACGTTAAAAAATTATAAACTAATATTGAGAAGAAATTAAATTTATTTCTAATAATTGAATAAAATAATAAATTATTTAATTTAGTTAATTAATTTTAATTTTAATTTATCTAAATAAAATAAAAAGTTTTATTTTGATTTTTAATATATATGTTAATATTGGTAACAACGACTATGGATATTCTTAACTTAAAATTATTTTTAAAAATATTAAATACTTTTATTTGTGACCAAAAATTATTGTTATAATAATTTGTTATCAGGCTAATTGGTCAAATTTAAATAGAAATAAAAAAGACACTAATTTATTATTTATATTTAAAATTCATTTATACTTTATTAAAAATAATTCTTCCGATATTTCGACTATCTTCGATAGTCATCTTCAAGGAAAATTATTTTTGTTTTCAATGTAAATTATAGAATTGAGATTGAGAGAAAAAATAATATATCGATTCAAATTCCAGTATGAGAGCCGGTGTATTTATGCCTCGACACTAAGGCAAATCAGTGTTGTTTAGTAATAAATTTCAGAATTTGCGTTTTTTAAGAGCAAATTACTTCAATTTCAGTACGTTTGGAAAAAAAATGGCAGTAAGCAACGCAGCCTATATTATAAATCGCTAACAATCAAAATATTCAAATTTACGTGCACTCTATTCCAGTAATCAATGGTGAAGAAGAAATTAAAAAGCAGAACTTTTCACATTTAAACAACAAATATATCCAAGACAAAATGAGTACAAGTGAGGGAAAGAAGAGAGTTTGTTATTGCTAGTTAAAAAGTAGTGAAAAAGAGTAGACTCTGTGCAAGGACTTATTGTTGTTATACTATGTTTAGACTATTGTACTTAACTGGACAATATGAGGTATTTATCATATGACGTCAAACATAATTGAAAGCACGCTTATAATTGTAATTGTGACAACAAGCGCACCAGATGAGATCTCATATCAGCTCAGAACTGTCAATTTAAGGCTGCATTTTGTGAATGAAATTGAAAAGGTAATAAAAAGCATTTAATTAAGCAATTACATTTTGTGTTGCAAGTAAAGTAAGTTATTTTAATTAAATATATAATCCTGACATAAAATAAGTAATTGTGTTTTATATTTTGGCAGCTCGCTCCCGTGATAATATTTGATTTTATTAACAACGTATTCTAATATCAATTTGGATTTGTTTGTATATTTCTTAAAAATGTCAGTCACAGAAGATGTTGAACAAATTTATAAGAGAGGTGTTAAACTATTGTATTCCAGTCATCCAAATTCGGCAACAGAATTACGAGAGATGATTGATGAACTAATTCGACAGCAGTATGGAACAGAAAAAATGATTTGTAACACTTTAACCAAGAAGCAATTAGATGATGAGATCAATTTTCCTGGACGTGCAGTTACGCCACCTCCACAATTACAATTACCAACAGAACCTACCGAAGAAACTGAAGTTATTAATTTAATTAATTCGCCAACAAAAACTATTTCAGATTCACCGGACACAATTATTGATTCTGAAGATGGTGGTGGCCTAGTTGGTAGTGCACTCTTAACAAGCACTGAAGATGATGGAAATTTAAAAGAGTTTGGTGATTTGAACTGTTGCGTTTGTGGCGAAATGATGTTTACCGCCACAAATCGCTTATGCGAATGTTCAATGTGTGGTGCGCTCTACCATCAAGAGTGCCATAAGCCGCCAATCAGTGATGAAGAGGCATCAGAAGAATCAATATGGCAATGCAATAATTGCAGTAAGCCAACAACATCAAAAGCAGCAGGTTTTGTAGTTATACCCGAAGATCCAATACCATTGGTTGCAAAAATTAAATCTACGTCATCTCGATCCTCTTCATCGTCTAATTCGTCGTCGCCCTTTTATAAACAAGAACAAACCTCTTCATCAACAAGCAGTAAACATCATCATAAGAGTTCGTCATCTACAAATGGCTCGAAGAGTGTTATTACGCCAACTTTAAATGTAATAAGTGCAGACGAAAAGCGTTCCTCATCTTCTAAAAAGTCTTCACATTCTTCCTCAAGCAAATCAAAATCTAAACATCACGAGAGCAGCAAGCGTAAATCTAGTAAATAATGTAATTGAAACAACCTTACAGCAAATATTTGCGGTGTACATATGTGTAGCAATGTAAGAATGAAGACAATTGTTAGTTTGCCTAATGCCACCGATATTTTTCACTGAGCCTCATATTATAAATACTTCATTTAGAATACTTATAATTTTTGTACAAATGCATAAATAAAAAAAGCTTTAGACTTATTTCGTAAGTACTTTATTAATACCAATAATTAAGGATAGAATATAAAAAATAAGATCGAAAGCCATTTCTAAACTTCCAATTCTTTATACAAACTTCAATAAATTTATTAATAACAAGTAGAAAAATTATTAAATATAACACTGAAAACAAATAGTAATTTCGCACGCAAATGTGATCATTATAATGCTTTCTATCTTATTTAAGCCTAAATGGTCATATATTTCGGAAATTCAATAAATAAATGCCTAACGAGGCGAAACAACGCGCTTCGATTTTTTCAACATTACAACTGGCGTCCGAGGACTGCCACCATCGTCAGCTAGTTTACGTATTTTCACACGAGTTGCTGGAGAATCAGACCCCTCAGACGCCTTCAAAGCGTCACTGTTCGTCCTTGGTGTGCTTGTGGATTCGGTTTTAATACCTTTCTTCTTGCGTTTGACATTAACTACAACATTAGCATCAACACTAACATCGAGTTCAAAATTAAATTCGTATGTTTTACTGCTTTTTATATTGGGCGTTAAATTATCATTAATTATTGTTTTACCGGGACGAGCAGATGAACGTGTCATTGAAATTGCAGGACTTAAATTAATATTAGCGCGCGCTGATATCGGTGTTGACCCTTTAGGACGTAAAGAACTGCTTTGACCATTACTTGTACCAGCAGTTGGAATGTGGTGTATTGGTTTTCTTGGAGTCGGTGTACGTGAAGGCACACTTATAGGGGAATCACTAAAACTGCTGTTTGGTGTGTTTCGTGTTGAAATAATAGTTCTCTTATTATTAGGAGAATACGTTCGTGCTGTGTTGGTATTAACATTTTTTGGTGATATTTTGTGTTTGGATGGAGAAGGTGTTAAATTTCTTTTCCTCGGCAATATGTTTGTTGGTGCTTCTTTTCCACTTTTTATATTTATAGTTTTTAATTCTTTTGCAGTTGGTGCAACTTTTACTGGATTTTTTTTCTTCACAAATATGACATCAGTATCGTCGTCTTCACTAGCATAGTCGACATCATCAGTTGTATTTAATATTGTTGAGTCATCTTTCCGATTATTTTTGCGTGATTTGCCTGTTGTTTGCTTTTCATTCTTACTCGTGGTAGTTTTCAAGTTAAACTCCAAATCTCCTTGATTTGAAATTTTTAATGTTTTCAGACCATTCAAAAATGTTTTACGGAATTTGTCATAATCTGGCCTATCATTATACTCCATTTTGCAAACGTTTTTCATATATTCAGCAATGGGAACTATTTTAAAAATAAATTTTATATATTGCACTCAAAGTATTTCATATGTGTTACCTGACACTCCTTTAGGAAATAGTTTACTTAAACTTTTATCCAAATTTAAAAAAAAATCTTCTTTAGATTTTTGTACCTTAGCTGGAGCAGCTAACAGTTTATCCTGCACCCATGGCAACTTAGCGCCCATCCATTCTATCAAATTATATCCTAAAATTTCTAAGTCAGAACGCATTGTTGCAACACCTTGATGAGCATCACGGGATGTATATTCAATAGTGCCATTATGCATTTTTTTTGGATCTGGTTTAAACTCTTTCGTAGTAAATCGAGATGCTAAACCATAGTCTAGCAAATAAGCTTGAGAATTTCCATTTTTACCATATCCTAATAATATATTAGGGGCTTTTAAGTCAGCATGTATGTAACCACACGTATGCACAAATTCGTAAACATCAAGCATTTGTAAAGCAATGCGATATATTGTGCCTTCTGGCAATCGACCTCCATTCGCTTTAATATGTTTTTCTATATCACTGCCATATCGTGGTATAACAATAAATCGATGTTTTATGCCATTCAATTCCTCTGAACCATTTCCAAGCATGTAAGGCATACCTAAATTTTTTAAACCATGTGTCCGCTTATATTTTTGTAAATCTTCCAACTTGGCATTGCGCATATAAAAGTGCATTTCAACGAAAAGGGGCCCATTTTCGTGAGGTTCCTAGAAAACACACATTCAGCTTGTATTTTAGTAGAAAATTGTAGCACTACTTACACATTTAATTACGTAGTCATAGTTTGTTTCTCCAACTTTAGCGGCGGTGTATATCTCACCGAATCCGCCAGTCCCAATCGACTTTCCTATACGCCATCTCGTCTTTGTTAAATCTGTGAGCTCAGTTCCTTCTGCAATACTTTCTGGCATGGCATATAATTTGTTCCGCTTAGCGGCTGGTTTTTTAACAGCAACTCCTCCATCTTTTTTCTGCTTTTGTGGTCTCGGCATTGATCGTAAATATTTATGTTTAAACTTTTATGTATACAGTCTAATAATAACAAAATTTATACCGGCGCGTTAATACGCGCTTGATTTTAATTTCCCTTAAAAGAATTGTTAACCGTTGGGAAATTTTTTACAAAAAAGTGTTGCTTTGTATTCTAAAAAGAGTAATATATACAGAAGTGATGTAAATTAGTAACATTTGTCATACATACATATATGATATATTAATAATAATATTATGTATATATAATGTATAATTTAATATTAAATTCAAAATGTATGGTCTAAAAGTGAAATTAAGCACTAAATTTAT